CGGGTCCGATGTCATTAGCATGGGGAAATGGTTTGCAAACAAAACGACGCTGTGCTCTTCTCGAAATGGACTCTGCATGGAAGGCGGGTGGGGGGCAAGGGGGAGAGGAGGGGCGAAGGAAAGGGTGCCAAAGCACAGTTATGCCGTATACCTCCGTATCAGCATCAACCAATACCATGCACACCCTCCTGAAAAGTGCTTGTTGAGAAAGCCAAATAAAAATATAGAAGGAAATTTGAATTACTTTCTACATACATTTAGAACACTGGTACCGTTTTTCAGCCGCACCGTAAATACAAAGGTAGACTTAAAACTTCGAGTGCGGCTGAAAAACAGTACCAATGGTATAAACGTAGTGCTTCCAGTGCGGCTATAATGTATAGGCACTAAATCGGCACTAAATTTTAGTGCCTTTCTCGGGTTGCTAATTTTTTAGAGACTATGTAAAGGCACCATATTACATAGCCCTTATAGCACCGCATAGAGGGTGCTGAGTCCTACCGTTGTTTCCCAGTGCAGTTGTTTACGATGCGTTATGCAGCTGCAATTTTCCTTGCGTCATCCGGGTGCCCGTGCTGCACTTGACAGTTGCCCCCTACAGCCCCGCCCCGCCCCGCCGTTTCCGAAGCCATGACCCATTACTCCGGTGCAGCCCCTATATCAGGGCTCGCACACCTTTAGCCCACATTTGTGTGTGCAAAGCGACACGTTTATCCGTAATGGAAGGCCGCTCGCCGGCTTAGGAGAGATAGCCGTGACAGTGTTATACTCCGTGCGAAAAAGAAATACACTTTTCCGGGACGTTTGCGGACTTGCCTTGGCGCGTCTTCCGGTCTTCCCGCGGTTTTCGGGGAAAACGGGCATCCGCTTTGAGAATCGAAGCCGGCGCGGCTGCCTGGGAGAAGGAGCCGGGCCGGACCCGGCAGAGCATTGCGCTGCTGGACCGGGCCCAGCTTCCCGCGCGATGGGTAACTAAACAGTCTTGCCAGCGCACGCAGCTGCTGGCCGTCTCGCCTCTGTCAAAAAAATATCTCTGAAAATTCACAAACATCTTTTGTAAATTTAAAATTTGTCTCCACTCTCAAAATATCTTCGTGAATTTACATTTGTTGTAATTTTTATTGACAAAATTTGATGATGTAAATTTGCGACAGCCCATTCTTGCTTTTCGATCAATGCCTAATTGATACAAAGTGCTTGTAAATTTAAAATTTTACGCGACACACATCACGAGAAATTTACCCGTCAACCTATGACTATTTTACAGTGCTTTTAGTTTCGAATTTCAAACAATGTTGTAAATTTACGACGCAGCTCAGCTCATTCAATTAACAATTTGACTTTGCATGTTTCGTGTATGCATTCCTTTCGTGTCGGAACGTTTTTCACTGTGGGCTTCCGTGCGGGCGGGGTCCGTGCGTGTGCAGTGTCGATGGGAGTGCAAATATAGTACGACGGGCGGCTATACATACATTTATGGCTTTATTTTAATTTTATCACTCTGCGTTTGCACAGGGCCTGCCCCTGGCTAGACTTTGTCGGTTTGATTGTGTGTGGGATACCCGTGAGACGTTGAGACGTGCGACTACACTGTAAAAAAATTTGTTGTACTATGACGAAAATACCATGGCTAATTTTTAGTACAGGGGTGTCGTCATGGGTTTTCTCGTCACGGTGACGAGAAAACCTTAATCATGTGACGAAAAAACCCATGACGACACCCCTGTACTAAAAATTAGCCATGGTATTTTCGTCATCGTGACAAAGAATTTTTACAGTGTACCGACACTCGGACGTCGGCGGCGTCGGTCAAAAACGTCGCGCTAGAGGGAGTCAGTCTCGTTTTGTACTGGTGGTGGGCGGCGCGTGGCGTCTGAGTCCTTGGGGGTGCGTTCGGACTAGGTCGACGACGGCGACAACCGCAGTCGTTCACTGTAAAAATTCTTTGTCACGATGACGAAAATACCATGGCTAATTTTTAGTACAGGGGTGTCGTCATGGGTTTTTTCGTCACATGATTAAGGTTTTCTCGTCACCGTGACGAGAAAATTCGTGACGACAGCCCTGTCCAAAAAATTAGCCATGGTATTTTCGTCATTGTACAACAATTTTTTTTACAGTGTTTTCCTGCGACAAGAAAGGCGAAGATGTCTCGTTGTTGAGTCCTTCGTCTTCATTCCTCGACGGGGTCCCCGGGCCTCCTCCTGCCCCAGTCCTCCTTGATCATGTCGGCGGCCTTCTCGGCGATCATGATGACGGGCGCGTTGGTGTGTCCGGCTGGGATGGCGGGGATGACGGAGGCGTCGGCGACGCGGAGCCCCTTGACGCCGTGCACGCGCAGCCGCGGGTCCACCACGGCCTGGGCGTCGCCCGCCGGGCCCATGCGGCACGTGCCGCTCTGGTGGTAGATGGTGAAGGTGAGCTGCCGCGCCGCGCAGCCCCAGTACGCGTCCGAGCCGAAGCCGTACCTGCAGATGAAGGGAAAACGTTAGAAGAAAGTTCAGAGCTTCCGCGAAGAATTCACCATGAAGAAAGTAGCAAGAACTCAGAACAAACACTGATGTTTAGACAGACCCAAAGACTGTCTCTACCGGAAGTAGAAAACTTGTTTTTTAGGGGGTGTGGGTAATTTAATCATAGCTTCTAGAAATGTTAACAGTTACTCGTAAACTCTATAATAAGGCCATGAACAACTACGAACTTCTCCCTGTAACCGCCGATAACCTCACCTTTTGCATGCGGGGATCGGGATGTCGTGCAGCCTCGTCCCGAAGCGCTTGAACGGTTCGGACTGGGCCACCTGGATGGCCTTCTTGACGCCCTCGATGATGACGTCCAGGTCCTGCTGGTGCTCGAAGTAGTTGGGGTAGATGGCGGGCGGCTTGAGCGGGTCCCAGCTGCGGAGCGTGAGGCGGCCCCGGCTGCGCGGCCGCAGCAGCATGGGGAACACCATCCAGCTGTCGAGGTGCTCCACGGGCTTGAACACGGCGTCGAACAGCTCCTCGTCGATGCCGAACGCCTTGCGCATGACGGGCTCGGCCGTGAGGGAGCCGCCCTGGAACAGCAGCTCCAGGTCCGGGTAGCCGTCGGGGTCGGCGGGGCGCTGCAGGTCGTAGAAGGCGACGGCCTCGCAGCCGCCCGGGATGGACGCGGGCCCCGTGTGATAGCTGAGGTACTCGCTGAAGAAGCGCGGGTTGCTGTAGAGGCGCTCGGTGCGCAGCGACACGCTCTGGTTGACGAGGAAGGTGAGGCCGCCCAGCGCGATGTGGTCCTCGAGGTGGCGGCCCACGCCCGGCAGGTGGTGCTGCACGGCCACGCCGACGGCCTCGAGGTCCTCGCGCGGGCCCACCCCGGACAGCATGAGCAGCTGCGGGGAGTTGATGGCGCCCCCGCATATGATGACCTGGTGGAGCATTAGGGGCATTATGAGAATAATTGTGGGAGGTGAAAAGGTTAAGAGATGCCTAGGTGTCCTTCGCCTCTAATTTATTTTACAACTTGTATTTAATGTTCAATAATTAATTCCTGAAGTACTGAGTTTTTTTCAAAACTCTAGGAATTTTGGCATGATTCTTACATTCAAATTTGAGGCATATTTTTTTTTTAAAGCAACGTCTTCTCTGACTTTTTGAAACCGAAGTGGTGTTTGCAGACGGCCAACACCCTGTTCCGCGGTAAGCGGTGGCCCTGGCTACGCGCGCGCCTGTTGGGCGGCCTACCCTCCGGGCGCACGGGCCGCTCCGGGCGCCGCCCCGATGATTTGGGAAACAGACCTGTTGAGAGGGTTAATGCGGCCGATCAACAGGCACTAATGCGATGACAGACCCCCTATCTCCCCCTTCCCTCTCTTCACGGGATGCCACATTGTGTGCCACCGCTCGTTTAGCGGTCCGCTGTGGATAAGCAGGCGAATAATAAAACGCTTCGCAGTCAAAACACGCAAAATAATGAATACCTTAAAAGTTGTCTGGCCAAAACACGCAAACAAATCAATGATAAAACTGTGCCTGGATACGTGATGCGAATTCCAGTGCCCCTTGAATCATTTTTCTTTCTTTTTTTCGGCAACATGGGCTGGGAAACTGCGTTTTTGCTCACCTCCTTCCTGGCGAACACGGTCACGTTCCTGCGGCCCTGCATGTACTGCACGCCGTAGGCCTGGCCGAGCACGGGGTGGATGAGCACGCGGGTGACGAGCGCCTGCTTGCGCACGAACAGGTTCCTCCTGCTGCGCACCGGGCTGAGGTAGGCGCGGGCCTCGCTCACGCGGGTGCCGTTCAGCATGCTGACCTGCAACACGGGTGTAAAGCTAAAGCCCCCCGGCAGAGCGTGGCTGGCTGCAACTTTAGACAGTCCCCAAGACTGTCTCTACCAGAGGGCTAAGTCCCGCTCCCCCTATCCTCACTCTCAGCACAGAACGGGCCCTTGGGTGTGTGCGGCTGGCTGGCGGGCGTGTTTTTATTTATAATCCCCACGGAAAAATAATGTAAGTTTTTGTTGTGGAAGAAAAATGGACAACTTTGACGTTCTTTCGTCGTAACTCTGGAAGTCTCCTGAAAAAATCACACATTGTTTTTGTCGCGTGCCTATCATTTCCGTCTGCCACTTGTGCTCACTCCATCTCTGAACCACAACCTGGTGGCGATGACTCTACGATCAGTCTCGTGATCCGAGATCGGGCTGACGATCTGACCTGCAAGTAGGAGAAGCCCGTCTGCGTCTCTCCGTTGTAGTCCTTGGCGAGGCGCTGGCCGGTGGCGGGCCCCGCCTGCACGAAGGCCTCGGCGAGCGGCGTCCTCCACGACGGCAGGGTGACGGGGTGCGGGCCGCGGGCGCCGCGGAAGCGCGGGTCCGCGCCCACGTCGCGGTGCACCGACTCGCTCTTCTTGAAGTAGGGCAGCACGTCCCTGTACGCCCAGCCCTCGTTGCCCAGCGCGGCCCAGCCGTCGTAGTCGCGCCTGTTGCCCCGCGAGTGGATCATGAAGTTGAGCAGCGAGGAACCGCCCAGCGCTTTGCCTGGAAAAAAAAAATGAGACGTTCAGTGAGATCTCCTGTTGAACATGCCCGGCTCCCCTCCCCTGGAGTGGGTGGGGTGGCCGCTTCCGACCTGCCATTGATCGACTTGTTGCGAGTGTGACCCGCACTTCCCTGACAGCCGTTCCGGCTCAATCCCCCCCCCCCAGCCTGCACCCGGAAAACCGTTCCCTTGAAAAGACACAAGGAAAATTTTCTTCTTGTTTTAAAGAAATTTCTTTGGTTTAACGGCAAAATTTCCTTGAGTGAAAGACCTTTCTTCAAATTAAGGCAAATTTTTCTTTGATTATTTTAGAAGAATTTCGCTGATTCAAGGCCAATTTCAAGAACATTCTTTACTTTCAAGGACACGATTCCTGGGTATGTTACCTCGCGGGTAGTTGCACTGGTGGCCTGCCATGCCGAGGCAGGCCTGCAGGTTGGGCTCCGTCTTGTACTTCCAGTTGGCGTCGCTGAACTGGATGTAGCTCGCCACGAGCGGGATGTCCATGACGAAGCTGCCGCTTCTGCCGGCCTCCAGCAGCAGCACGCGCCAGTCCGCCTCCTGAAGTTGGCAAGCAGAAGTTGCAAATTGTCAATTGATTGAAGCTGACAATATCGTGGAACACCTCTTGGACACTAAATTCTGTTGTGACTTTTTCGTTGATTAACAACCAAATTTAGGCGATGATATGTGTGAACAATTTTGCTAATATCTCTTGGTTTTGTTTACAAATAGTTACTTTGCTCAACATTAGTTTTGTTGCCAAAAATTGTTAGCACAAAATAACAATATTCCTCTTACCTTACGATTATTGCACATATTTGTTTATAGCTATAGCAAGAAAAACCTCGTTTGGGTATCTGCGGCTGTGGATTACCTGGTATTACCCTTTTTCAAAATCGGTCGAGTCTGGATTACCTCTGACATGATCCGAAATACCCGAGTCTTGTACGTACCTCAGTGAGCCTGTTGGCGAGCACGCAGCCGGCCGTGCCGGCGCCCACGATGATAAAGTCGTACTCCTTGGCGGAGCCCTGCCCCGCCTGGTCTTCGGCGTCCTGGGCCCCGGCGGCGGCCTTCTGCGCCGCGACCATGAGCATGGTGCTCTCCAGGATGCTGATGCCCTCCTCCTTGTCGTCGGCGTCCTGGGTGGCGGCGCGCGCCATGACGAGGGTGGCGAGGAGGAGAAAGGTCCCGGTCGCCTGCACCTAGGCGAGAAGAGTTCTCAACATGACTCATACGCGCAACCGAAGAGTTGGAGAGTGAGAGTGTCACAATCTGAATTCTGACGTGCTTGTTCGTCACACTCAATCAGATTTGACCGCCGCGAGAGCGAGAATTATTATTTGAAGAAGCAGATAATTTCAAAGATAATTTTCAACGATGAAATGACAGTTAAAACCTCTTGTAACCAATATGCTAGGTGGCTGACTCGCCCACTTTCGCTCTCATACTGTACTACATACACGGCTGCGGGTGGGTTTGCCTATCCCACCCACCAGTGTGTTGGAACCCTCGCAGAGCGAACGTCGTACTTACCGGCATGTTGGCTAGGGCGGCGAGGGCCTCGTCGTGGTCGGTCGTGGTGGCGTTGGCGCGGGGTGTTTGGTGCACTGGGCGGCCCGCGTCCCGGCAGACTGAGGCCCAGAGGCCTCGGCGCCGGGCCTGCTGAGGCGGCAGCGCCCCGTCAGCTCGATGGAGAACTCTTTGCGCTGACGGGGGTGTTCGAGTCAGAGTGAGTACCCTCGGCCCCAGTCCCCAGTACGGCATCGGGGCGCAGCCTGTAGAGTCCCCGGATGGGCGTTTCGGTTGGGTCAGCGCTTACAGTTTCCTTCCTTATATTTGCATATTATAGGTCAATTTATGTGACATTCGCCCGTGTGGCCCGTACGGGAGCCTTTCGCCGCCTGACCACTACCACTATTCAGTTTAAATGGGACTTATAAAAGGCTAAAATAAGAGAGGGAAAGGTAAGCGCTGACCCGACCATCCCCGGCCTCTAGCCTCTAGACGCTACCTACCCTCCGGTTCGCAGTCGCTGCTGGAGCTAATTAGAAGGGCTAATTTATGGTGGCTTATCTTAAATCTGTGAACTCCTCTTGGGTGAAGCGGGGAAACACTCGATAGGTTATCACTTGGTGGGGCCAATGCACGGCAAACGTTTCCCTTCGTGCCTTTCAAGTGCCAATTTTTTCGTTCGTGCGCTAACATTAAATCTTATTTATCTCTCCAATCTGTTTGCCATATGTAATGTCAAAACTTTGCACACCTTTTGACGTCAAATGTAGTTAGACACCAAGTGTGTCCAAACTTTGCACACTTAACTTGATTAACAATTCGATTCAAAAAATAAACACTTACTTTCTTAGTGAATATGTGAAACGTGTATTCAAATACTACGCCAAAGTAGCCAATGTATGGGCCATTTTTAAAAGTATTTGTAGGTTGCTCTGCTCAACAATTCTTCCGCTACGAGAAGATAAGAAGTGTCTTCACGAACTTTGTGGTAGGCCGCCGTATATTTTTGTATGTTTTCTAAATCAACTTCTTTCCGTTCCGGTTGAGGAAAAATTGCAGTGTCTCGTGCCCGCTGGGCCCGCCGCCCGTTAGCTGTTGGCATTCCCTCTCTATGCTAGCAGCCTACCAGCCACTGGTGTAGATTGGGTGGCCTACTCCCAAGGATCACCGAGCACAGGGGGGAAGCTCGCACGACGGGTATAAGGGATCGACGAGCGAGACAGTACGTCGGTTTGTTTTTTCTCAGATTGATTCGGAAATTTCGGGACTCTGGCGCCTGCAAGTCTCGAGGTAGGCCACAACCTGGCCACAACGCTGTTCGCTGATGCACTGCTGGCAAGATGTTGTTTTTGTACCAGGCACTATTAGGGCACTTGCTTGCGCACACTGCTACATTCCTGCAAAGCAATTTAACAGTTGGGACTGAACTGAATATTAGTCATAGTGGAGTCCCTAAGCAGGCGCAGATTATTGTTTGTCTGGCAGAGGGGGGGGGGGGGACACATCCAAGTTGCCTTCATACAGAATACAGAGTTTCTTACGAAGTAATGTTGATATTGCCCAGACTTCCGAGGTGAGTTGTTTTCTGAGGACGAGAATAGAAGAGCAGGTACTTTCATTTGGAGTGAGGAAGTTTTTATTGCACAATTTGTTACACTTTGGTGTCGCTGAAACGGGGTAGCATGTAGTGATAGAAGTATCAAGAGCAACAACACGTCACGTGACTAGCTGGCCATGCAGTTACGGCTCGGCACACAGGAGTGACGCAATGAGGAACATCAATTTAGCCCCCTTAGGTTTGTTTGTGTTTCCCCCTCACGTTTGGGCCCCGCCCCGCCCCTGCGCCTGCGCGGCCCGCAGACAATGACACTCAGCCACCGTGTCGCGGCGCGGGTGCGGCCAGGACTACAGGTGTACAGCTGGCGCCCCTTTCCTTTGACTCGTTCTAAATGAAAAATACAAAATAAAGTTTGTCTACATTTCATTAAAAATGTATATTCTAAATTGTTTTAATAATAATTATCGAATGTTTGTAGCGCGGTGGTAAAGGACTTGTGAAAATAAAATAGCACGCGAAATAGAACCACAATTTGCAACCATATTATTTACAAGAAAAGACGGCATCAGTCGCCAATACACTCATCTAAGTCTTAGTTAAAAGACAGTCTGTTCAAGATTATCCTAAATACGATTTATTTATTTTTAAACTTGATAATTTGTTTCAACTAATGTTGTCTGGGCTCATTTGGCACATCGTAAATTTTCCCCCTCGGGGATCTTAATTTACTGACTAAACACATCATGGTAACTTGTTTCTTACATTCAATTTGTTCCTATATTAATACTTTGTAACTTACATTTAAAGCAATCCGCAAAATTGTACTTCATTAATCATCTGCCTCACTATTTTGGTGTTCAGGCCTCTTCAAACCTTTCAAATGTTATTTATGTATGAACCGAATGCTTACTTTTTAAAAGGCTAATCTAGGTCCTGGTCCTACATTTAAACAGGTTTAATAGCGACTTGTGCTCTATTCTCCTATTCGTTACAAATAGATCAACTCACTAAAATAATGAGTGCAGATTCTTGTTAAATTTAACAAATTAACTAAAAGTAAGACAGATGAAACTGCCCGCTGGGAACTACTTTTTCTTTCTTTTTTTTACAAACCCTTTAATGGCTTTCGTCATGTAAGTTGTAAGTCTTTTTCCGGCCACAAGGGTGGCGTCCATTACAACTGTGTCTCACTGACCCCTCTTTTCTTTATCGCGTTCGCACACGGTACGTGAGTTGACAAGAGCGGAGCAACGCGTCATGCCAGTGACGGACACCCCCTCACGCCGACATGACCACCGCCGCACACTCTTTTCGCGGCGGGAGGCGGATAGCAGAGCAGCTTTGATTGGGTTTGTTATGGGTTTGAGGTAGTTCCAGGAAGTTCCGCTCCAGCCGAGGCAGCGTGGTGCGACGGCCGGCCTGGCTTGCGAGGCTGGTCGCTCTGTCTCTCTCGCCTGCTGCACCGCACCCCGAGTAGGAGCAGGGAGACGGAGAGAGAGAGATGCAAACAGCCTGCGGGGAAATTATTATGAACAAAAGGGGCGCCCAAGCAGAGCGCAGCAGAGCGAGCGTATCATAACGGGAGAGGGAATACCAACGAGGACGAAATGAACGTACCAAAAGACATAACGTTCAATTCTGTTAAATGAGTTTCGCTGCTGTGCTGCGATTGTTTGCAACTAAAGTACAGGAAATGTAGCGCAACGGTTTGAACATTTGTCAAGGGACTCTGCTTGGGTGCGGACTAGACTTTAAGAAGCGCGCTGTGCGTGGCGCTGAGGAACCGTCAGCAATCGCCCCAAGCCGGGGCCAAAACCCTTATTTTCATTTAGGGTGTTAGCACTACTTACACTTAAAACAAGATAAAACAATAAAACAGCCTGTACTATTTGTTTAGTTTCGCATTTCAATTTCGAGGTTCGTCTTTCATGAGATCCGCACGCACGTGGCGACCCGTTTTCTTCCTCTTTTTGAGCAATGTCGTTCGTAACGCAGCGTTGCGCGTGCGCGCCGAACGGTTTTACATTTATATATACACATCTGACTCAAGCCAGCAACCGTGCCTTTTTCCAGCACGTCACCATTTCACACCTTCAGTACAAAGAGTTCTAAAATGGCCGTTACGTCCAGTGCAAAAAAAAAGGTTCTAATAAAAAGGCACGGTTTGCCCAAATGTGCCAACGCGCACACGGCTGGAGGTTTCACCGACCAAAAGCTATTCCTACATTATGCTGGCCAAAACCAGTGTTAAGTTCTGCAGCGTGGGAGCTCAAACACTTGAGCCAGCTTCCCTCCTTTGGTCTTCCTTGGGTGATATCACCGGCCCTGTTCGGAGGACAGCCAGTCTTCCTTGATGAGGTCGGCTCCCTTCTCCGCGATCATGATGGTCGGCGCGTTGGTGTTGCCCGAGACGATGGTGGGCATGATGGAGGCGTCTATCACCCGGAGCCCCTGGACGCCGTAGACGCGCAGGCGCGGGTCCACCACGGCGCCCGGGTCCCAGGACGGCCCCATCTTGCAGGTGCCGGCCGGGTGGTAGATGGTCATGGTGATGTGGCGGATGGCGCACTCCCAGTACTGCTCCGTGTTGAAGCCGAAGCGCTTGCAGCCCGGGATGGCCAGCCGGTGCAGGCGCGACCCGAAGGGGCGGAACGAGTGCGCGCCGGCGATGCGGTGGGCGAAGCGCACGCCCTCCATCAGGGTGGCGATGTCGCGGGGGTCGTCGAAGTAGTTGGCGTGGATGAGCGGGTAGTGGAACGGGTTCTTGCTTCGGAGCCGTACCCACCCTTTAAAACAGGAAAATAGATTATTAGACACTTGGTACAAGTTGTGACCGTCATGTATATGTATAATTTGACATGAAGAGCTCCCTGAGAACAAACATGACATTTTCCTATGTGTTTTCAGTTTTTCTTAAATTTCTGCACATATCCCGAAACCTGGTCACATGCTGGGTAGTTTGATTGAAAATCTCACGAAGAATCTAATGGTCTCCAGATAGAGCGCAGGACACATTCACATTTTTAATTTAGAACATTAACATTAGCAACTGTGAGGCTCCTGAAGGCTCCTTGCCCTAATACATTTTTTGAAACTCAGCGCCCAGGTACATAGCATGCATAACACTCCGTTTCAGTTTTATACGATTCAGCACGATTAAGTTTTGGGATAAGTGCAAGAACTTTTATGGCACAACCCTCCTGCAAACGCTCTTTTCCTCGCTTTAGTATGTCGAGTAGTGGCGGCTCGCAACACCCAACAGTCCACGACGGCGGGCGAGGCGGTGCGGTTGCGGCGCGGCGGTGACGCCGGGCACAGAGGAATGTGAATACAATATATGGGCCATGCATATAGATATGGCGGGGTGAATGTTGCACGCCGGTAGGATTATAGACTCTGTGCATTGCAAAAATATTACAAAGACGCGCTGCAAAGAATTTCACTGAAAACGGGATAATCTCTTTATTATTGGAGGGGGGG